CTGGCCTCCTCGTCGGGGAGAAAAAGCACAATTCGTCGGGGAGAAAAAAAAACTTATATGTATTTTTTACATATTAGTAGACTCTAAAATCGATTAAATAAGCCTTTGAAACCCCTAAATTGTCAAAATTTTCGGGGGCTTCGCCCCCAGGACCACTTTCGAAACCTTTTAATCGAAGCTCGACCACGCCCACTTTGCTTTCGTCGGGGAAATCTGAACCCTCGTCAGGGGAACTGGCTCCCCCTGTCGGTGGACCTCGCACCCCCACCCCCCGTCGGGCAAATCCTGGCGCCATCCCTGGCGCACACTAAAAGAGTGTAACCTGTTTGCCAAGTGGCAATGGTTGCCGGAACTTAAGTAACTATTGTGACATGTGATCCACTCCTCATGTTTTTGATGAGTATATATTTTTTTACTTAAAATTTTATTTTAATATTATGGATTCGATTCTGAAATAAAGTCAATCAACCAATCAACCAATATTATAATGTTAATGTCAGATTAAGTCTGGGTATATTGGCTTATTGCTAATCTGAAACAGAAATGTTTCGGCAGCTTCGTCTGCCCTCATCAGTACAATTTGTCTTCTTTCGCAATTGGTAGACCATTCTAATAGTTAAAATACATATATATCAAAAACAAAATAGGTTCTGTCGGGAACGTAATATTGGAATGTGGCGTGCTAATGTCGTTGTCTGATGATTAAAATGTAACAAATGAAATACTATAGTTGTCAATAAGCCTATTACTATTGCTGAAAATCGCAAGTCGACAACCACTTAAAATGCAGTAAATGTCAAATTAATAAAAATTAAGCATCAACAGTGGATACAGCGTAATGAAAAATCCATCTCGCAATTCAGTATACATCATTTGGATTAGACATGGGGACGCTCTGCTGTCACATGGAATCTGGTGGAACAAAACTCGTTTAATGTCATGACATGTTTGTAACATCGTATAACGCCAATCGATCAAAGGTGACATTTGAAATGTGTATACTGCTGGTTTAGTACCAAAATCATCATTATTATCATGATCGTTATCATTACCCTATCTACTTGAAATTATTAAGATATTTTATATTTGCATGGTGTATTGAATGATGTTAAACAGCCTTGAAAAGTTTTCTTCTTTCGTTGCTGCTAAGAGGTTCAAACTCAATCATCTGAGCTACACTGATCATTGTATAGCATTACCACAAGACGAGTCTTAGCCTATATCATGATTTATTCATAAAAAAGTATCTTTCCGGAGACCTGTTTTGTCATCAAATGCTTAGACGAGTAAGAGGGTGGGAGCCTATCATATTGCTCTCTATTATTTGCCATACATAATTTAAAAAATAAATAAGTAAATAAGATTTATAGCGCTCATATCCATTTGAAGAAATGCTCAGGGCGCTTGAGATAATAGAGAGCGGGAAAAGAAAACTCATCAATACATCAAGGACTAGTGCTGTCCAATTACACATGCGCATGAGTGTGAGGATTTTTTTTATTGAATTCCCAACAAAGCCTCAATCGCCCAGTTGCTTAAGGCATCTGCATAGACAGCAGAAGGTCCCAGGTTCAAATATCGGATGGGAAAACTTTTTTCACACCCGTTGATTCCTCTTTTTTAACGTTTAAAATGTATCGGCCTATATAGGCCTATGTATGTTTATACTGTCTCTTATACACATCTACAGTGGATACAGCGTAATGAAAAATCCATCTCGCAATTCAGTATACATCATTTGGATTAGACATGGGGACGCTCTGCTGTCACATGGAATCTGGTGTAGGCCTTCGTTACCTCATTTTCTTATTTTCCATTCAATTGTAGAATGTATACCCTCATTTTCTTATTTTCCATTCAATTGTAGAATGTATACCGGTACCCTCATTTTCTTATTTTCCATTCAATTGTAGAATGTATACGATTGATTGACAGCCAGCACTCTAGAATCGGTTTAGTTTCTTGTTATTTTTAGATTGGTCTCAAGTGATTTTCGTTACGATAACTAAATTTCCTGCTTAATTAGGACTATGAGTATTAAACATACCGTAATAATAGTCACTATTTATTGATTTCTTTTACGACGGATTTAGGCCTAATCGTCCGCCTTGATGTGTAATGCATAGGAGTACGAATATTCGGGGAGCTGAAGGCTTTTTTGTGGTTTACCAATGCATGTTTAGAGAACACATAAAATTACTTTATAATTCATAACATTAAGATTTGCCTAGAAATCGTTTTCAGATTGTTTAAATTTTAGACCAGTAGGCCTATATAAATTTTAATTTATTTTTATAGGCCTAAAATTTACAAAAATTAACAAAACTATATATAGGACTATTTATAATATAATTAGGACTTAATTATTTTTCCACGGTAAGTGAGACGGTAATGATCTGGCTTTTAAACGTAATTCTTACCTTAATAATTATAATAAATAAAGGAATACATAAAATGATGCAACTTCCACATGAACGTATTTTTGTGTACGCCTATTAAACAGCAATATGCCTATTTATGATTTTTAAAATATGAAGGCTCCGCAATAAATAGAGAGTGTTTACTGACGAATGAAATTGCTTACTCGTGTGTGATTGGCTGTAATACTCGGGTATCCGATTCTAAACAAAGTTTAAAAGTGAAACAAATGCCCCGTGTCAATTTCTATCAACTAAGTACACAGTGTCGTCGTCGGTTTTGTTAAAATAATATGGCTGGCAAAATGATGTTATAAAAATAGTGTAAACTACAAGAGCGGAAACTTATCGTTAACTGCACGTATTTTTTTTCTGTTGCTGTAAGCCCAGTATACCAGAGTCAAAGCGATTTCCCCTCCCGAGTAAATTCGACCTTCCTCTGTAGCCCATTAGTGTAGGCCCACTAATTTCACTGTTCCCTGGTAGGCCTAAAATCAACTTTCCCCGGGCGAGACTCTCTACTCAATGGATTTAAGCTCAGAAGAAGAATTAGCGGAGGGGGGGGGGGGTGGCGAAATTACCATTAGTTCGAGTGGGTTATCTGCATAGCAATGGCAAGCCAAATTTAAAAACACTACGGTATGTATACATTTACTTGCTGAGATTGGTTTATCGTTGATTTATAAATAGGCCTATTATTTTAAATAAATGTTTTTGATATTAAAGTTGTCACAATTTTAGGTTTGGACAAAATTCATGGGAAAGATTAATAGGCCTATATACACAATTCACACTACGGGGCAGAAGATCGAAAAGAAAGATATCTCAAAGAGAAACATTACTCCTTCCCCCTCAAACTCCTATTGAACCTTCAATGAACCATGAACATCACATGACCTGACGTCACAAATAATTTGCTGCTTCAATGTAGTTTGCTTAGATATAAGTGATGAGGTCAGTGGGAAACAGACAAAAACGGTTTGAGTGAGTCCACTCTTGCCTGCTAATAGGCTGAAAGGAACACACAGAGACATTATTTTAGCAGAAAGAATATATTTAATTTAGGATTATTTACTCTTTCTGGTAAGTTTTGTTAATTATTTCTGGATTTCTTAGTCATAATCTACTCTAGCAGCTCTAACAATCTTACTTCTGGCATTTACATGCATGGTCCTAAGTAATTACTGGCTATATTCCAGGTGAATGTTTGAATGATTGTACTTGTAGGCTTTTAGTTGGCAAAGTTGGTTTAAGTGGGGGAGGACTTCCATGCCCGATGGTCTTGTGAAAGTAAATAGCCAATGATATGGCTTAGATCTTTTTTTTCTTTTTTATATTAGAGCTACGCTAAATTTCTATTTTTAAAAACGTAAATATTTCTCATTTTTTATTCTAAAAATAGGTGGTAATGGTTGTCCCACCCCTCACCTTGTTTCTACCCCTGCTGCAAAATTAAGTCGAACAAAACTTCTAATATTGAACTAAATTGAGTATTTAAACTTTCTGTATAGTACATTGGCTTGCAAAAGCCAGTTATATAACTGATACCGAAAACAACGGATATATTGAGTACAGTATCTCAATTTCAATCGACTTTTCATTTTAATAAAGGAAGTAAGACCAATCTTAATATATCTAAGATATCACGTGTAGTTGTGTTTTTAATTTTCCCAAATACAAAAGGGAAAAAGTTATGCCTATAGTTGTCTACAGGCTCACTTTATTGTAACCGTGTTTATCCAGAAGCAGATATTATCACAAGTGTATTGAAGCATTCGGAACTAGTAGTTACTACTCTACTAAATTGCAATAAGGATGTGCTAGATTTTTTCCACCATGTTTTGACGTATCACGCAATTGATGAAATGTCGATATGTAAGCACATGGCAAGGCAGATTAAACAATAACATTCATAAAATAAATGCCACAGGCAATGACAAAAAATGCAGTAGTAATGATTCTCCATACAATTCCTTAAGCTTAGTCTACACTATCAAATTTTATGTGACAAGAAAATGTGATGTGCCCATATATGGGTACGATGACGTCATATCACATATTATCACATTGTATCAAAGAAAGTTGAACGTGTTCAAATCTATGTTCCATCACATTTTATGTGACGCTTTTTCGATGAAATTGATAGTGTAGACAAAGCTTTATTCTCCCACCACATTTGAACTTGAGTTTTAATAATGCCCTAAGCATAAAGCGTGTTGGAAGTTCCCAGATGTCAGATGATCGAAGAAATTCATTTTCTAATGACACAAATGCAAACTGAACTATTATTATTTAATGACCGGATGTAAGGACGTTCACGGGTATTACTCGACTATAAACCACGTTAGACCCATACCCCCAGGCCTACTTGGTTTAAAGTCTCATCACTGGTAACAAATGGTCATAGTTCGAGGATTAAAATTATATCGACCAATGTACTCTCAACATGTGTTTACTTCCTACACTAGTCGTGTGAGATAAAGCAGCTTGGGATGTTTATATTTCAACGTGCATGAATGGATGCATATGTTATAACTATGGAGGTATAACATTTTCTTTATTTTAATACATCCATGGTATAACCAGAGATGTGTTTAACCAGGGAATTGACGACTTACAAACTAACAACTAAAAAACATATCGCACACGAAGCTGCCGTCGTATCAGATTTTCAAAAGTGATCATTCATTCTATAAAATCTGTTTCCACAAAAAAAAAAAAAAAAAAAAAAAAAAAAAAAAAAAAATTCTCAAGTTCAATTAATTTCAATTAATTTTAATTTGATAATAAGTAACCCAAAGAGATTCGTAAATTAACTGAAATGCTTACCCGTTTACTTGGATATGATGTATACAATAAAAATTGATTATTAAATTAAGATATAAGTGCATTACCGTATTTTAAGTTTAAATCTTTAATAATCAGCAAATCACAGTGTATTATATATTGTATGATATGGGCTTAGTTCAATTTATATTTCTACTTGATTACGTAACTGTAAAATAATAAAAATAAGTACACATCCTTCCATTATCTTATCGATTAAATAGTCCTATAATTATTCTATTCCACTAATACGTTTCGTGGTTGTTTTGAGTATCGATATGAATATGTGCCAAAGAACGACCAATGTATACGAATACTAATACACTTTTTGACTTCAAAGTGTAAACCGTAATCTCGCGTTCATGCATAAATCGAGTCCGTGCGTTCACATGGAGGGTGAGTCGTACACACGCGTCCCCACGAAATACGGATCATGTCTCATGTAATTATTAACACGTGTCATGAAATGAATTTTGCCATCCGGGAGTGAACTGAACACGCAAATGTGTGCAGGTGCGTACAAGATATTGTGGCAATGTAGACAGGCCGGGCAGCAGACACTTCCTATAATCGGTAAAAATGACGTGCGTCGTTAAGATAAAGTGAACACACACATGAGGGAACTTCTGTTTGCGCATCTCTGAGTTTGCGCAGATCGTGTCACGAAATATTGCTTACTGAACTAAACAAAAAGTTGTCGATATTATTTAATTTTTTAAAAAATAGTTTGAATATTAGGCTTATTATATTACGTCAAATGTATTTGAACATTTATTTATTTAGGCCTACTTATTTATTTCCAATATTGTATCCACACATCTCTGCTGTTACAATATGTACAATTAATTATTACGTAAGAATTTATAGGCCTAGTATTAAAAGAATAAGATACAAAAATACCGTATTTTTCATCCTATTACAAAACAGGTTTAAATATAAAAAGATATAAAAATCAAATAATGTTTAATGTTCATTAATTATCAATTTGTAAACTTTTTTTCAATTTCCTTGGTCTGTTGTGTAATATTTTTTAAAGTTAATGTGTTTTTTTTGTCTTTTCTTGTATTGTTATGTCCTCAATAATTTGTATTCATTTTCTCCAATTTTAATGTTTCTCTTTCTACTTATGTCTTCATTCGTTCTTCGTTTCATTATATTTCAATATTATTAATAACTTCGTATTTGATAATTTTTTTAAAGTGTATTTTGTGTGTTTTAAATTGTATTGTTTTTTATTGTTTGGTCTTTTTAGCGTAATAATTTTAATTGTAAATATGATGTAATTTAGCTACCGAGTCAGCTGCCAATCAAATATTGAATAAATTGAAATTGAAATTAAATTGAAATTGAAAATTATATCTGTGCACATAAAAGGTAATGCCGACATGTATGGTATATCATCACAGACTTTTGCATATATCTGGACATCACAACAGGTTTTCTATATTAATTTTCACTCTAGAAATATTATTATAGTCCAATGATATACCAGTGAAGGGGATTCGAAATAGAGGGGGACCAAGGAGGGACTGTTACAGATGGAGGGTCACCTTAGTTCCACCATGGTTGAGGCTGTACGACAACAAAATGGGATAGGAAGGCAAATCGATATATCTTTATAATCTAGTAGACCATATGTTGTTTAAAATATCACATGTAAAAATCGTCGTTAGGAATTAAATATATTTACAAGCTATAGAAATATAGTTATTCCTGGTTATTCTGTAAAACAGGTCCCATTAGGGACTAAGGGTAATTGAAAAATTCCTTATGAGAAAAGAGGCTGAAAGGGTAAACAATGACACTTTAGGTTGTGTTTCTAACCCCCTACGGGCTCAAGACCGATTTATTTCTTGCAGAATAGGTAGAAATAAAGACGATTATGTCGCGGTTGTTAGGAGTATATTTAATTCTTTGTTTTTTGTGCGTCTGTTTCCGTTGTACCTATTCATGAAAAAGACAGCATACAAGAGCTGCCGCCAATGGACAAACACAAGTACTGTAAAGCGAATGCACTATGATTGTTTAGTAGGCCTACTTTTATAAATAATGGAAATTATTCAGAAGACTGAAACGTTTTGCCTAATTTATTCTTTCAGCTTCGTTCACTGAAGGAATTTACGCTCTCATGTTCAACTCAAGAATCTTCAGACGGTCCACTTCGGAATTTCATTGAAGTACAGAGAACAGACGCGCCGATTGGATTTATGTAAAAGTGTAATTCACATGCATTTATACCACACCTGGAACTATTTTGTATTGTCACCTTGACAAGAACGGATAGAATTCATACGCCTGGATGGTTAGTGGTTGATACTTTCAACACGATGATTCTCTAAAATGCTGAGGGGCGGAGATATAATTGATACGTCAGTTCTTCTTGGAAATATTCATTTGCACAGAACTTTCTGCCACTAAACGTGCTTTTATTGTTTGCTCCCTTCAACATTACACATCAGGATGGATACTTTTGTGTTACATGTCTGCTCGTTTCGCTGATCTTTGATGAATAAAGAAATAACGGAACTTCTGTTTTAACCAGATTTCCGTAATTCATTCTTATCGACGTCCATATCAACGGAATTTTATTCTTTAGAGTGTTTATAAACAGTTAACTTGCTTTGCGTGCAAAATGGTTGTTCCAAGTCTGAAGTCATCAAATCATTGTATGTTTATCATCAGTTGTGTCATCCTCTTTCTTGTGTCCGGTTCATTAAGTATGTCATGGCACAGGACGAGATCAAGGGTAAGTTTACAAACTAATTCTATGGCCTAGATTTGAAATAGAAATGACAATAGGCCTAAAGGGGCGGATACAGGATTTAGCAAAAGGGCGGGGGGGGGGCGCCAAAGTAATGATGGACGACCAGCCGAGGTACGAAGCAACGAGGGGGTGGGTTTGGGTCCCCCTCCCAAAATAGAAAGATTTTTTGAAATGGTTCGCCCTTAAAAGCTCTTACAGCGCATCCTACAACAAAGAAAGGTATCTATTATTTAGAAGCGATGCCTATTTTTACTTACTTAAACTTTCTTTGTAGCTATCCATTGCGCGATGTGACATAGAATCAACCTTTCTATTGAATTGGATATCCATTCAATTATCTCAAAAAAAGGGGGGGGGGGGAACGCGCGTCGCAGGCTCCCCCCCTCACCTAAATCCGCCCCTGGCCTATACATATAGTGTTATTGACATTATACTACTTGTTTTTCTCAGTGAGCAGAGATCCCCATATAGGCCTATGACTATGACTGATTGGATGTAAATTAAAGCACTGTTCGCTAACAGGACGTCAGTTTGTAAAAACTGACTATTGAAGGTCATTATCATCATGTAAGGCCTAGACCTATAGCGATTACGTAAGGTTAGGTTAACCTGGTATAGACGTCAACATGACGTCAACTTTAGTATTTAACTTTGATATAGGCCTTGCGTAACATGACATTGAAACACTCAATTTTTTCAGTGGTATGTAGGACAAATCTTCGAATACATCTGAAAACGATTAAGGAAATTATCAATTTTAAAACCATCAAGTAGTCTCTTTTGATTAATAGTTTGGTAAATTGAAGGAATATTTCATTTTATAAGATCACGACAGGAAAATCAAAGTTCAGGGTTTTAAATATGATATGATTACGTTGATTTAAATGTGTAAAGCAGGCCTAATTCTGTGCTCTCTCATCTCTCAGTTTCATGGTTTACTGAACCACTGACTGAACCATGCCTTTTTCATTTAATATAATTTGCCACGATATTGCGGATTATAATATAGGTCTACATTATACAAGACCTACTATGTTCCTATCTCACACATTATTATTATTATTATTATTATTATTATTATTATTATTATTATTATTATTATTATTATTATTATTATTATTATTATTATTTATCCTTTTGTGATATATATTGTGTTTACGGTACTACGCAGCAAACCTAATTTGAATAATATAATATATATGATAATATATAATATAGAACTCAAAGATGAATATATATAGCCTATATATATGCTGTCTCTTATACACATCTAGATGTGTATAAGAGACAGATTATATGTATATATATATATATGTATATTGTGATCTCACTTGCTATTTTTTTAAATTTTATTTTTAGAGAACTTCCAATAACCTATCTGCAAGAAATCGCATTCCAGGTACGTTTAGTAACAACATGTTAGTGAGCGTGCTATATCTTCCTGATATCTGCTTTATAAAGGGGGTATTTTTTATGATATCATCAAACAGTTTGTTTTTCAATGGTGAGAAAATCATTATAATGATTCTGTACCCATGATAGCATTCTTGGAACAACTCTGTTGGGAATTGCTAGCACACACAGCATCTGATATACACCATTTCCCATAAAACGCTCACATTACCTAAACCACATTTTGCTTTTACATTAATCCGAAGACATTGACCACCGGTGTTCTTACAACAGTTGCTTGAACCACATCGTGTGGTCGTAATTCTATAGGTTAATCTGGAGTATATGTGTCGATTAATGTGCCGAAAACTACATGTGGTCTGGTAATGTCCAAGATTATTGTAAAAGGGATTCTAAAGACGCGTAGCTTAAAGTATTAATGTGAACATATGCTTTAAATGTGAAGGTAGGTGAGGGAAACATCTTTTAAGACCCTGACTGAAGGTTGTTTTTCGAGCTTGTGGATTGTGCTGGTATCCAATTAATTGTGGAAATGTTAAAAAATAAAAGATCAACAACATTAATAACAATAACTTTAACAATAACAATAATAACGACAACAATAGCAATATACCATTATAACAATAGGCCTAATTACTTAGGCCATAATAATAACATTAATAATGCATGTATAGGCCCTATTTAAATGTAAGCATAGGCCTAGTGGATCAGTGCGCAAACGATTCGGGTAACACGTATAAGCGCGTGATACGGATCGATGGCATGGCACACAACAATTTGTTTCTCAATTTTATAAGCCCATTTAAACAACTTAATGTTATCAAGAACTTCGCACGTAAATAAACAAATTTATTAAAAAATAATGTTGTTAAACATGACTAACATACAGCTGGTGGACTTATACAATCATTCCGTAGTTATTTGTTTGCAGGCGATCATACATGTGAACGAATTATGATATGCAATCAAAGGATTAGTCACCCGAACCAACTCCCGATTGCTTACACGAGCAGCACTCTTTAAATCATATCGGGATGTTGGTTTGCGTGGTACAACGTTTGAAGCTTTATTCGATTAGACAATTCGTGGAACAATATTTTATGTCTTTACCAGTAGTAGAGTTAAATGGATAGGTCTGCATATTTCTTGCATTTTGTTGCAAAAAATATCATAATTCCTGTTTCATATTGCAATATTTTTCGCAATTCAGCCGGCCACGCGTGTGGTTAAGTGTACGCTCGTATCGGGAAGGGCGTCGCTACCAATACGCGTAGCGTAAATCGTAACCGCCAAAAGTGAACATATCTTTCATTTATATGACAAAGCAGACACGTGTGGGAATCATATTTCTGACAAACATTGAAAGCAAGCAAAGTATATTAATATATTGATGATAGACCCAATTCAACCACGCATACATGTGCTGTCGTGTATTTATATGAAAAGTAGAAAGGCTAATGAAAAGCTAATGAAAATGTTTCCTATAGTTCGGCAACATAAAACCGTTATTTTCAAATATTCTATCTATTTTTTTGTTATATTCCTTTTAATTGAATAATTAATTAATTACAAACTTGATTCTATTGTCTTATTTTGCAGATGTAAACGAATGTTTACCAAATCCATGCAAACACGATGCAAGTTGCCAAGTAAGTCCCTACGCTTAAGGGCGTTAACTACTATTAGGCCTATGTCAGTTACAACAGTACGTAGGGCTAAGCTGGACATGGATTTTTTACGCGGTAGGCCTCAATGAATATTCAGTAGTTGAATATCTGCATTAATGAATATTCATTATTTCCAAACTAGGATCTGATCAGGGATTACAGGTGTGTATGTTTACCTGGGTACTCAGGTAAAAATTGTGAGGAGGAGGTAGAAGAGTGCGCTAGTGAGCCATGCATGAATAACGGTCTCTGTCAGCGAGGCTTTGCGGGAAAGTTCTTTTGTCACTGCTCACCTGGTTTTACAGGTAAATTCATTTGCTCAGATTGTTATCGTTATATTTATTGTATTGTTATTATTATATAATTATTACATTTATTATTATTATCATCGTCATCGTTATCATCATCATCGCCTCAGTCAGCACCACCACAATGATCATTAATCACAAAAAATATTTATGCAAATCATCATTACAGGTATTCGCTTTTTTATCATTACATTTATCAGTACCAATGAACAGACACAATGTACTAATATTATTAATGAAGTTGTCAAAAAATCCCACTATTTCCGTGACTATTAAACTACCAGCACTATATTCCTCAATATACGAAGCCCTTATTATAATCATTCATAACCCTTGCCTATTAATGAAATAAATTAGACGTATAAAACGCGTCCTTTTTCTTTGCAGGTACATTTTGTGAACGGACGATCAATGAATGCGATTCAAATCCATGCAAACATGGTGGGGTCTGTGAGGACGGACTGAATTTCTTTAAATGTGAGTGCATCGATGGTTGGTCGGGTCATACATGTAATCAGAAGCTGGACAGTAGATGTGGAGATGTACCGTGTCAGAATGGAGGAGACTGTAGAGAGAGCAAACATGGATATAAGTGCTTCTGCCAAGTCGGTTTTGAAGGGAAATACTGTGAGCAGCAAGTCGACGAGTGTAAGAGTAACCCATGTTTAAATGGAGCGCTCTGCGTCGACGGGACCAACGGCTATACATGTTTGTGTCCATTCGGTTTCCGGGGAGTTCGTTGTCAACGAAACGTTGACGACTGCCGACAGAGCCCTTGTAGTCACGATGGCACGTGTGTTGATCTTCTGAACGATTACGCATGCATATGCGCACGGGGTTTCTATGGTAAATCGTGCGAATATACTGTCAATGAATGTGAAAGTAATCCTTGCATGAATAATGGCCTATGCTTAGATTTAGACGGTGATTATGAGTGCAACTGTCCGCAGAACTTTGGTGGGAAGAACTGCGAAGTAGATAACTTTGACCCATGCGCATCCGAACCGTGTAACAAAGGTTCAACTTGTATCAAACAGGACAAAGGTTCGTTTAGCTGTATATGCAAAAAGGGATACACTGGACAATGGTGTGAACGCGAGATAAACGAGTGTCTGCGTGATCAGTGTAGGAATGGTGGCACGTGTGTCGACCTAGTAGGAGAATATCGATGCGATTGTCCACCAGGTTTTACAGGGAAGCACTGTGGAACGCACACAAATGAATGCTTGAGTGCGCCGTGCGTTTACGGCAAGTGTCGCGATTTGAAAAACGAGTTTGTCTGTGACTGCTTGCCGGGTTTTACTGGCGACCTCTGTGACACGCCAATTGATGACTGCCTGGAGATGCCCTGTTTGAATAATGGCACATGTGTTGATCTCTTGGAAGGGTTTGCTTGTTTTTGTCCACAAGGATTTAAAGGAAAGTTGTGTGAAGTCTCACTTAATAGATGTTTTCCAGATCCTTGTTTAAATGGTGGAACATGTATAAACAAGGAAACGGATTTCTACTGTAAATGTCCACAAGGATTTACCGGCAGAGCATGCGCAATGGATGTTGACGAATGCTTGATGGACCCCTGTATGAACGGTGGCTTATGTAGTAATCTTCCGGGAAGTTACTCTTGTACATGTCCATTTGGGTTTACAGGACGTTTGTGTGAAACATTTATTGACGAGTGTGAATCGAATCCATGTCAAAATGGCGGAATATGTGTAGACTCTGTTCATTCTTTCACGTGTGCGTGTCTCGAAGGTTTCCATGGTGAGTTATGCGAGCTTGAGTCAAATGAGTGCGAATCAAACCCGTGTCTGAATAACGGTGTATGCTTAGATAAACGCGCGGGATTTACGTGTGAATGCACCATAGGGTTCAGTGGAAGACTTTGCCAAGTGAATCTAAATGAATGTTCATCGTCTCCGTGTAGGAACGGCGGGACTTGTGAGGACCGTGTGAACGGATATAACTGTGAATGTGTCGGAGGATTCTCAGGATCGAATTGCGAAATTGATGACGATGAATGCGCCAACAATCCCTGCCAGAACGATGCTACATGCTTACAAGGTAAACAACCAATTTCTTTTAAGAGCAGTTGAAGTGAACATAAATTCCCCACGGCTGTTAATTTGACATTGGACATTTCAGTGTGTACTTCCTTACACGACTTAGTTATCGTCTAGTGGGGTCGCAAGTTTCAGTCAGTTTAAAGTAATCAACTTTAAAGCATTATAATAAAACCGGGAATAAAACTTAATCAGTCTCCTTTTCTCGCCCCCATAAACACATTGCCAACAAAACAAAAACAATATGTAACGTGAATAAAATGACCAAACCGTTTCCGGTGCGTGTATTCCCTAATTGCGCAGTGCGTTGGACTCCCTTGACAACATACGAGTGTCGAAAAATTCATATTCAGCACACTGATTCAGACAACAAAACAATGTGTAAATTCGAGATATACATTACATTTTTGTTTTGGCCAATCACAGCGACTGTTTATTAATTTTCGTATTTAACAGATTATTGCCGAGCACTGCTCTATCTCCCATTGGTCTAGCCAAAATCGGAAACTGTCATATCTGGTGTATCGGGATTCGAAATAATTTGAACGATGTTATCAGAAAATAAAGTACTCGCTACACTAAGTGTAAGATGGGAAATCAGATATATATTACAGCCTAATAACTGCCCAATTATTAAAGTTTACGATGTTTCACAAACTTTTCTGTTAACGTAAAAATCACAAAATAAGTGAATGAATCGATAAAGTAAGACTATAGCGGCTATTATTTATTATATAAATGCAAATCATGAATACTCAGAAAACGAGGGGATTAATGACATGGGCTTACACCTACCACACTCTATATATGTTGACCAGTAAATTATCAGTTTGAAACGGATATTTTAGTGTGGATCTCAGCAAAAAGAGGTCTTATTAATTTCGGTCCCGGTTTCGATATGAAATCTTACCGTTTTTTAAATAACACATAATAAATTAAAAATTAGTTTTTGCCATGCTATCACGTCCCTCCCATCGAACTTTAATTTAGTAATAGGTGTCAGGTTAACCACCATTTTCTCTAAAAAAAAACTTGTCCGAGTGAATTTTTATTTTCGTTTTTTCTTTCATGATTAAATTTTTAATTAAATTAACCTGAGCAGATCATGTGGATGGGCAGCCGAAGCAAAAGCCAACTTTCATGGTTGATATGCAAGCTAGGACTAAATCTAGTGGTTATTTAAATTAGCCATACAATGCAGTGTGTCCGGACCAAAATCGCCATCTCTTCATGTACCCTACACAAGTTACAGGCTTAATAAGCTTCTGAAAAGCAGAAATTGGACAACAATAAACGATGTTTATGTCAGTGTACAGTGTGGATCTCAGCAAAAACGAGGTCTTATTAATTTCGGTCCCGGTTTCGATATGAAATCTTACCGTTTTTTAAATAACACATAATAAATTAAAAATTAGTTTTTGCCATGCTATCACATCCCTCCCATCGAACTTTAATTTAGTAATAGGTGTCAGGTTAACCACCATTTTCTCTAAAAAAAACTTGTCCGAGTGAATTTTTATTTTCGTTTTTTCTTTCATGATTAAATTTTTAATTAAATTAACCTGAGCAGATCATGTGGATGGGCAGCCGAAGCAAAAGCCAACTTTCATGGTTGATATGCAAGCTAGGCCTAAATCTAGTGGTTATTTTACCCGGCAATCTTTATAAAATAATTAGCCATACAATGCAGTGTGTCCGGACCAAAATCGCCATCTCTTCATGTACCCTACACAAGTTACAGGCTTAATAAGCTTCTGAAAAGCAGAAATTGGACAAGAATAAACGATGTTTATGTCAGTGTACTGGTAACTTGCCTCTGTACTTTCCCATCAGCAGTACGCACTAACCACTCGTAAGCACGAGTTATCAAATTCGAAAATTAAAATATGGTGGTTGACGTCAAACACCAATTCATATGTATTTAAAATTGCACGGAAACCATTTTTAATAAGCCTATATCACCTATCAATAAAATCTAGTAATTTTAATGAACACGTCAATTAATTTAACTGCAATCCTTGTGGTACGGCAAGACGTGCTTTTTAGAACGTGTTTTCGGAGGGGTTTAAAAATATATATTATAGACCTATATTTCTAAGTGTTTAACTGTTATATTTTTTAATACTGACTATTTAAAATAAATACTGGAGATAAATAAATAGCTTTCTCGTGGACTGAGCCGTTACGCGAGACGTTTGATTCAATAATTACAGCAAGCGAGTGTATATGAACAATAAATCTAAACAAACATGCTCTGTTGTGAGTAGGGGTTCCTTTTCCAGGAAAACGGACCAAACATTGCTGGGGGGACCGAGCCCGCCTAGGATCCCACCGGGGTAGGGGGAATATTCCTGGTGGGGTCCAGGAGAAGGCGCCCCCACGCACTCAGAACTGGGATGACATTTACGAGTCTGTACCGTAAGTAGTGTTTTAAAGTTAATAACGTAACAAGCTGTGTATGCGAACATAACAGCTAACCTCAGTACCAAAGGTCCACTTCCGTATTGTAGTGAATGGGGAGGAGTGCAAAAAAATGAATTGCGTTTAGAAAGTTAATTTATATTTAAAAAAAAAACCAAACTTTATATTTAAAAAACGACGGGTTGTTTACGATTAAAGTGACCACAAATACAACTTTGATACTACAGTCTAAACAGATCATCATTAAAAAATATCCGTTGCGTGCACGTCGTGGCGTTGCGTTCTCCATAGAATCGTCGGGGCAGTGGAGACGTAAGATCGTGAATGAACCCCAAATGCCAGCGCAAGATCAAAGATGAGAAAACAAGTCTATTTATTTTAGCGCTAGTAAATTACGCTATGTTAACGTGTAACAAGGGCAACGATTTGATTTAGTTGTTTCATCGTTCCGTCGCGTGGGAATACAGATCGTGACGTGTGCAGAAATATAGCGAAGAGGGAAGCATGGCAGATTGTGCTTGGTTGTATTAAATTAAAAGCCCTTCAAATCCACATGTAATTAAATTATTTGAATCATGATATGTGCCAGCTAATATATATAGCATTGTCATAGCGCCACTGAACATCGCATTCTGCCGTGGATATTTTCGCTTTATAAATCTTCGTTTGATTGATTGATTGATTGATAGATTGATAGATAGTAAACATTTCATCCGAAAATTAATGCTTCAAGAGTTAATTGACCCGACCCAACTTATTCCCATTAACTGAAAAATGACTATGATAAATAACAGAATACGACGTAATAATTGGGTGGGTGTTGTCAAGTGTAAAGTTCATATAAAGAACTTTCAATTACTGGTGAATGTTTTCGCATTATACCGTATACAAGCAATCATTAGGTTTTACTTTCAAGACTTTGTTTATTCACCGAAATTGTTTTGTCGTCTGGTAAACACGGAAATACCATAATGATGACACTATGGCGAATCATGCCTCATTGTTTGCTTCACATTTTTGACTGGATAATGACTAGTCATGGCATTGGAATCACAAATAATATATTCTACTTTACTGTTTGCTTTAGAATTACTCACACGCACAATTTTAGAATTTGTAATCGTGTTTGTTTGTTTTGGTTTTTTTTTTATAACAGGAGTGAATACATTTAGTTGTTACTGTAAACCAGGGTACACCGGCAGCCTATGTGACGTCAATATTGATGATTGCCATCAGAATCCCTGTTTTAACGGAGCTACATGCATTGACAAGGTTAGCTACTGCCTACACTCGGACGATAATTTGAATTAAATATACGCTTATAAATGATAATTTTATATAGCACCGGTAACAAAAATGTAGGCCTTATTCGCACTAGAGCAATTTAGACGTGTAAACGCAAGCGACACTGGATGCTAGCGCTGGGTCTACAATTGCGTCCACCGACGAATCTGACCCCGCTCCTTGTGAGCGTTAAACGAAGTTTCCATAGAATCGCTACACGCTATCGCCGAAAGTTTTCGGTGATGCTGATTGGTCGGTCGAATTCGGCAGCCTTCCAGGTTGCTTCGGGGACTGCTACGCAGTACAAGGATTGCACTAAAACACAGTAGCGCGATAGTGCAGCGATTTTAAGAAAATCAGGCTTTAGAAGACATGACGCGGTGACAGTCTGAACGGATCGTCATTAAAAACGATCCGTTGCGTCGACGCGTTGTGTTCTTCATAGAATCCCGTCGGCCGACGACCGGGGCTCAGTGAGTGGCTAGTTTTAGTGAGCAATTTCGTCCCTTATATAACGTAGTGGCGAATGTGGAAAAGTGCATTTTAAGAAAAAGATTTTAAAAAATAGTACGGTAATTTTTATTAGCATACCTTCTTATATGAAATTGCCTAAATTTCTATAGGCCTATTACGACTATGGTACATTGCCTCCTAATACTGTGTATAAAATATATGACCATAATAACGATTGGTTAATTAGCAATTCATCATTAAACTTATTCGTCACTTCGAAAAAAATTATTAACGTTCAAATTGTATGCAGTAATTTAACATTCGCCACTTTGTGGGGGGAAAAAAATCAAACATTCGCCACTGGAAATTCAAGCCAGTAGGCAGGATTTCTGATGTGAAGGGTTGGGTGCGTTTTATAGCGAGCAAGGTTAGAACCTTAGGCCACGGGACCTGGGCCATCCTGGAATACCTGGGGGTGCAGGGGCAGAGCTCTGGTGTGGTGGGGGTGCAAATCTCTCTGAATTTTTGAACGTAATTTAGAACTAGTACAAAAGATTCATTTAAGTTTCTTATTTATAATTAATGTATTTAATAATATAGGTATTGTGCTAACCTATGACCACAAAGCATGAGCTCCTGTAGACCAAACAAGTGCCGTTTCGTTTTAAATCGTACGGGAAATCCACTCACGATGATACGCTCATTCAATTTATGCTTGCACGCAGGCGCGGATCCAGACCTTCGCCCAGTTCGCCCAGGCGAAGGTCTGGATGCCTGGAAATCTTTTTATTTCTGACGAATTTAGTAAAAAATCCGAATTAATTAAATAGGTACCTGAAAATGACACTTAAATACTTACAATTCTAAAAACCACCATATATCCAACTGAGCCCAAAAATAACACTTGATATAGTACAAATCTTATATCTACTCTGAGCCCCACAACCGGGTTTTGGGGCGCAGATGAGTAAATTTTAACAATTTGAGACTTTATAGATGCCCGAAAACGGCAATTTGAGACTTTTAGATGCCGGTAAATGGCACTTTAATACATAAACACTACGAAAATTATCGTACTATATTCACCTAAGCCCCATCATGGATGAGGCTGAGGTGAGAATATTTTAATAATAAAACACACTTTTGTCACAGTATGTCCACACTGTGGACTAGTATGTGAATTTCTCTCTGTGTACCTTATGTTGTAACACACTGTGATCACTGTGGCTGACTATTTAAATTCTCTACACTGTTTTTTCTGTCCAAACACGGCGGCCACAGTGTGTACACACGATGTGACCACAGTGTGCACCGTGTGTACACACTGTTGACACAGTGTGCACTAGATGTGTATAAGAGACAGGTCCAGGAGACTGAGTCTCTTGCCAGGAATTTTTCAAAGAGTGGTGGAATTTCATAAAATGTTGCCCACAAAATTTAAAGGGTGGTGCGCTAAATGTTAAAGGGTGGATACCATTTAGTACTATTTATGGTATCGGACACGACTCAGCATGACCCGTGTCAAACAATTTAAATTATTAATGCAAATAATATATGTACACTTAAATAACCTGTTCAAATCTCTATCCACATCAACACTTAGTGATACGCATCTTTGGTATACGGTATATAAAACAGACATAATATATACAAAGATGCTTATCACTAAATGTTGATGTGGATAGAGATTTAAACAGGTTCTCCCAGCGTTCAATGCCATGTCCTCCGAATCAGACGTGTATATTTAGTTGACTATTAAGATTTAGATAAAGAAAATAGCTTATTATATTAAAATTACGTAAACCAATTACTAATAATGTTGTTTCATCAATCACCATTCATAAATAACGGACACTTTCACTGAATATTGTGATCATCACGCATGTACGGTACCGTACTGAACGCACCAGCGGCGGAGGTAGATGATGATGGGCCCCAGTGCAAGATATAATTGTGGGCCTTGTGATTTGAAGCTTCAATCAAGGCCCTCAGGCCTATGACTTGGGGACCTGGACAAGGGCCGCAAACGTCCACAGATTGTATACGAAAAATATATTTTCACTAACACACAACGAGCAAAGGTTACAGAAAAAGCAGCGAAAGGGAATAGTTTGTTTCAATGTTTCAAGCACCTCTACATCCCCCTTCAACAAATTAACGTCACAACGAACAAAAAAGAGATGTGCAAGGTTGCACATTAATAGATACAGAATACTACATAAAAAGGTATAAAAAAGAGATATACATTGAACATTATAAAATATATATTTTTATATTATTACACAGAAAATTATTTAATTATCATTATTAATTAAACTAATACATACAATAACTTTAAAAATAGAAATATTTACCCCCCACCCACGCCTTCCCTCGTATTATGGTGATCTTATATGTTAGGACATTAAGCTTGGCCACCCAATTTCAATTCAATAATTTTTCCATAAATATTGTGCTATTAAAAATATATAATTGTTATGAAGAGTTGACTGTACTAATAATAATAATAATAATAGTGTAGTTTTATATAGCGCACATATCCATCTAATGTAAGATGCTCAGGGCGCTTGAAATGTGGACTAAGAACTCGACCAATGACATTCTTCGCCCCTAAGGGTCCCTTCGTGTTTGTGCTACCCGGTAATCCGGTACCAGCAACTCTCGTCGTCCACCACAGGGGCTGTCTGTTCCAGTACACAGGGGCAACCCCCTACTCGTCTCGAAGGATGTACTGGGTTCTTTATAGTGCACACGAGCCATTGTATACACTGGGCCTACGGTTTATAGTCCTTATCCGAGAAGACTTGTTCTACCACCAGAACCATAGGCGAGCGTGCCGTTCGAACCAGCGCCGATATTATGGCTATAGCTTGCGGCGTCCCTGCTAACCGCTCGGCCATTCGACTCACCACGGAGGAATTAAATTAATTCCTCCATGACTGTACTAAATGATAAAATGTTGCCTACTAAAACGATGTAACAATATGAAATATTTGCATATAGGCCTAGTCATGAGAAAATGAACACAATCAACTCACTGTACTTCTCTCAATATTGATCGATTCAGACGGAAGCAACATGCTCATTGATTTTTAAATATTGAGAACCTTCCAATTATCGTAGGATTATGCTTATTAAAAAGCACTCTATATAAAAAACATTTTCATCGTCATATGGGCCTATACACTGAGAAACAAACAACTGCACGTTGCCGGTTTTAAATGAACGCAATCATCGCACTGTAATTCTTTCAATATTGATCGATTCCGACGGAAGCAACATGCTCATTGAATTTTAAATATTGAGAACCTTCCAATTATCGTAGGATTATGCTTATTAAAAAGCAATATAAAAAAACATTTTCATCGTCATATGGGCCTATTGCAATCACTGAGAAACAAACAGCTGATCGTTGCACGTTTAGTAGGGTAATTATTCAGACTCCGTCGTCAAAAAGCACAATCGTACTAAAATTATAATTAAAGTGTTCTGCAAATTTCCTTACAATTTTTACAGGTTAATGTTTCATTTCTTACCTTACCTTAATTAACTTCTTCGCGTCATGTGTTGTATAGGCCTCAACAGAATGCCTCCATCATCCCTGTTGGCTGCTGCAACTCTAGCTCCTCCCCCACCCTACCATGATGTCCATCATCATTTTATTTCGTTCTTTTTCCACCATTCGTCTCCATGTTGTTTTTGGTCTTCCTCGTCTTTGCTTTCCTTCTGGTGCCCATGTCAATGCAGTGTTGCAGTCATTCCCTTGGTCTCTTGTTTGTTTAATGTTTCATTTCTAGGTAAATGTAATTGTTACGTACCTACAAGATTGGGTCTACACACTTAAATGTCAATGAACTCATCAAAATATTTAAGCCTACTACTTATCGAAAATAGAAGTAAACACCAACACATTAATCTATTGTGAGTTTTTATTTTAAATTTCTGTGCTAAAAATTAGAAATAAACGGAACATGTGAATATATACAAGCCATCATAATACAGGCGCGGATCCAGACCTTCGCCCAGTTCGCCCAGGCGAAGGTCAGTTTAAGAAATAAAAATAAAATGTTGATAATTTTTTCAACAATCATACTTAATTTCCTTGACACTTATATTAAACATTACCATTAGGACATTGTTTAAATCCACACTAACCTATATCTTACACTTTTACACTGATTGTACTGAAGACCCTACCAGAGATACCGGTACATGTAATTATGGTCTTCCATTTCTATAGCGCATAATACAGTGCATGACAAACGTTACATAACCACATACGGTACTACTAATTCAGAGTCGCTCAGCTCAGTCGTACATGTGTCTATTTGGCACTGATACTGTGTGTTTTAGCATTGTTTTAAAAGGGATAATTTCACATGAACAACAAAACGAATGAAAATATATTTGGCTTAGCTGTTGTTTTCAGTAACAGTGGCGTATGTAGGATTTAATAAAGGAGGGTGCTAATGAAAGTAGAGTCCACACCACGTCAGCGCCACCTGGTTGGCGGTGACGCAAAAATTTCAGTATTTCATACATCTGGATGCCCGGAAATGGAACTTACTTAAATTTACCTTTAAATCATTTTTATTTTTGACGAATTGACTAAAAAAAAACCGTACCCGAAAATGGAACCCAAATACTTACAATTATAAAAACTACTATATCCAACTGAGCCCCATCATGGTTTGGGGCTCAGGTGAGAAATGTTTGAGAATTTAAGACCCATATAGATGCCCGAAAATGGCACTTTAATACATAAAAACTACGAAAATGACTATATCCACCTGAGCCCCATCCATCATGGATGAGGCTGAGGTGAGAAATTGTTAAGAATTGGGGACTTTTAGATCATTCCTGATGATGACATAATGTCGAAATACTGGATCCGACACGAAGGCGTGCATTTCAATGTATTATACTATCTTATCTGGGATTAATCAGTGGACCTTTCGGTTTTTGGGGAATTTTAGGTGACAGAAATTAATGGCACTTTAATACATAAAAACTAGGAAAATTACTATATCCAGGCACCCTGAGCACCCCCACCTTGCATACGCCACTGCAGCAATATTCTTCCTTGTCTCTCTCCCTCTCGCCCCCCCCCCCTTCTGTCTCTCTCCCCATCGGGCACACCCGGTTAATTATGAACAAAGTTATAACTTTCCTTTATGACTGTTTAGATCCTTAATTGCTTGATGTATATAGTCGGGACCGTCCTTGCTTCCTTTTCCCATGGGTTGGTTTCCAAAAGAGAACCCTTGAAATAACTTCATTTTTACTTCTGTAGCAATGTCCAGCAAAATGCTAACCTTCGTGCCTCTGAGTTCTTGATGCAGGGGGAATGTCTCCATACAGGTCTTTATTTGTAATAGGCCTATGTTGTTTATAGTTGATATTCAAGGCGTGTCTGAGTAATCTATCTTGTATAACAACTTAACCATCAAGTCCTCTCTCTCCAAAATCTGTTCGTTTCTTTTTATAGAAATTCCGTAATTAGCAATATTTGTGACCTTAGGTCACCTGAGCGTTAGAGGATTCCCACATGCAGCGGATTCAAGGAGAGCAGTCGGCCCAGGCCCCCGTAAATAGGCCTATTTAAAAATTATTTTTAAAGAATGCCAAAATTATAGACCTATTCAAATCCTGAGAGTGCCATTTCCGGCCATCTAGAGGCGACATTATTTTAATTTGTCTTAACTCAACCCCAAACATGGTGTGGCAGAGCTGTCTATCTGTGAAGGGACCTCTGGGCACCCTCTATTTTGAATTTCTGGATCCACCAATGCAAAGACCACCCCATGTGTCCGAAGGTCAGGAAAATTCTGGATCCACGCCTGTGCACGCGCTGCCGTTTAAGGAAAAAAACATACGCGAGATATGCGTTGTGCGTGGGAAATTATACATTCGCCGGTTTGTAGTAAACAAACCGATTGATATAGCGACATTGTCTAACAATGATAAATTTAGACTTGTGAACTTCAATAATAAATTGGGGTAGAGAGGTTAAATTGACCATAGAGAAAATAGTTGACAATCTTCTGATAAAGTCGAGCACCAATGAGTCACTGCGTAATTCGTTATCAGGCCAAATGGGGTAATCGTTTCTTTGTTATCTTTCGTTTAGGTAAATGGGTTTAAGTGTTTGTGTAAAACAGGATTCACTGGTAAGACATGTAAAAACGATACAGATAACTGTATCCACAACCCGTGCAAGAACAACGGTCTATGTCGCTATACCGGAGGTCAGCGCCAGTGCATCTGCCAGCCTGGATTCGCTGGATCTCTTTGCGAAGAGGACGTCAATGAATGCCAGAGTAGCCCTTGTAATCACGGCGTGTGTATTGATGGATTAGACAGCTACAGATGTTACTGCAATCCAGGTAAGTGAAATGATATCAGAAATGGTGAGGATAGGGAATGCCAATGTGAAAGAGAACAAAAGAGAAGAGGAAAGTGAAACAATGTTTTTTTAATTTTTGTCATGGCAGGTAGCTGCTGCTTAGGTCAGTTGGTTAAATCTTTTAGTAGTTTGTTTAAAATACTCTATTTAGACCCTATTAGTATTCATTTTTTTTTTCTTTCAGGCTATCATGGTGCCACATGCGAACATGAAACAAAAGAATGCCGAAGCTCACCCTGCCAAAATAACGGCGAATGTATTGACGAGGTAAACGGCTTTAAATGTGTTTGTCCCGCTGCCTTTGAAGGTGTCGTATGTGAACGAAATTTTGACTTCTGTACTTCTGATCCATGTCGAAATAACGGTCAGTGCTCGGCTATAAGTGGTGCTGGGTACGAATGCCAATGTCGACGCGGCTTTGAGGGTTCAAACTGTGAACTGAATATCAACGAATGTAACAGTTCACCTTGTAGAAATGGCGGAAAATGTGTTGATGCTAGCGCCATGTTCTTCTGTGTCTGTCCACCTGGCTACTCTGGTGAAACCTGTGAAGTGGACATTAATGAATGCGCATCAAATCCGTGCGTTAACATTAATTCTACTTGCATCGATTGGCAAAATTACTATGAATGTGTTTGCCCGGACGGGTTTGAAGGGAAGCAGTGTGGGTATGAAGTACTTGAGTGTGCGTCAGAGCCATGTCTTAATAATGGCTCTTGTGTTGAAGGTATCGGCGGCTATCATTGCACGTGCGTTGCTGGGTTTGAAGGCACAAATTGCGAAGTTGATATATACGAATGCAAGAGTAGTCCGTGTCAACATGGTGGACGGTGCGAGGATGCTGTGGATGGTTACTCGTGTGTATGTGCCACGGGCTACGACGGGGAACATTGTGAAATAAATATCAGCGAATGTGTCTCGTCTCCGTGTCTAAATGGAGGAACTTGTATCGATAAGGTTGCGCGGTTTTCTTGTCTTTGCGCAGAAGGTTTCGGTGGACGCTACTGTGAGAATGACATCGATGAATGTGCGTCAAACCCTTGTAGAAAAACTGGCGAATGTGAAGACCTCATAAACGGGTTCAGGTGTCGGTGCGACTCTGGTACGACCGGTGAGCTTTGTGAGTTGCAGATAAATGAATGCGATAGCAGCCCGTGTTCTAATGGTGGGACCTGTATTGACCAAACAAATGGTTTTAACTGCGTTTGTACCATTAGCAACCATGGTGATACCTGCCAACATTGGACCGACGCATGCACACGTCAACCGTGTAAAAATGGCGGAGAATGCACCTCGCAATTTGGTAATTTCACTTGCGATTGCCAACCTGGCTTTACTGGAAAGACATGTGCGATAAATATTGACGAGTGCGCATCGAATCCTTGTTTCTATGGCAATTGCATCGACGGTATCAATTCGTATCACTGTACTTGTGGGCCAGGATTTTCCGGCTCGAGATGCGAAATGAATAATGACGAATGCAAACAAAAACCATGCGCTAACGGCGCTATATGCGTCGACCAGGTTGCAGGTTACAGATGTATTTGTATGCCTGGCTATGGTGGATTAGGTTGTAGAGAAGTTCAAGACCCTTGTTTGTCGAGCCCATGCAAGAATGCTGCCACGTGTAAGCCACAGATAGGCGGAGATTTTGAATGCACTTGTCCTTATGGTTTTACCGGTAAATTATGTGACTTGAAATATTTAGATTCCTGCGCATCGTCACCATGCCTACACTGTGGTCAGTGCGTAGACACGTTAGATGGATACGTGTGCAGGTGCATGCCGGGATATAATGGCACGTGGTGTGAAAATGTAATAGACTATTGTCAGAGTTTTCCTTGTTGGAACAGAGGGGACTGTCTAACGGAAATCAACGGATTTAAGTGTATTTGCCGAGACGGTAAGTAACAGTACGCCGAAGTGTATGTTAAAAACTAATCTAGTACACTGACAAACCATTATAAAATCATTAGTTATTTACATTACCTACATCATGATCGATAAGTAAAGCGAGCAATTGATTCACAACGTTCTATTATTTTCTTTCACCTTAGGTTACCAAGGAGACGTGTGCGAGTTGACCAAGACAATACCATGAGCAGCGCCACCAAAGAAGGCTAACTCTACCATCAAAGTTGAAATCAATAATACCGCACTGGACTCAATTAAAGTTGTTACCGTACTATATCACGTGAATGTAGTACCCGCATTCATCCATTCACTACTGGTGAAATGAAAACATCAACAACTATCCTGCGATTGATTGGGATAAGTGCATAACCTTACGCTGATAGACTTACACAATGAACGTTAGAATGTACTGACCCAGCAACTACTGTATGAATGAAAACTTATTTACGATTACGTTGGGATTTTAATCAGTGGTATATATTATTAGGAGAAAAATTATAAACTTTCTTGCAGCAATACTGAAATAAATATATAGGGCCTTCATTATTAAATTGTAGAGATGAAAAAATATGCGACATTTTAAAACAGCTGAGCTGTTGCTTAATATGCCTATGACGCTTTATATTTTAACCACTCGGTAACACTGGGGCTAATTGCACCCAGACGGGTTACACATCAAGATAATACACCAATATCTAAACACATAGGCCTACAAGATCTCAGAATATAGTAATGATAATTATATATACAGTAAAGGGATAGACCAATTGCAGTAAGGAATAAACCATTTTGCAGTAATGCTGAAATAAATAATAGGTCTAGTTATGGTCTATAATAATAGGCCTATACAAATGCCTATAATACATACGAAATGACGAACCAAATGTGTTATATAATGTAATACAGTATTGTACTGTGTCTGTTTGTGAACATTAATGTGTACGTACTTTGTTACTGTTAATATGCAACTTTTGCATAGACGAATGTATATAGGCCTAATTGTAGCTGATTGGTTAAAGTTGCGCAAACTGTATTTTAGGATGGGGAAAGTCGAAATTTGAAGACCGGCAAATGAAATCGGAGATCAGGAGTGTTATTTTTTTTTTCAAAAATGCTAAAACCAAAGCTTAAATGTGATAATGACCTAGAATTATCGAGAGTGAACCTACATCTGTTATGAAAGCACTCCTATCGAAACATAAACTACAGCTCACAAATTGATAGGAACTTTCATAGAGGATGAGTATGTAGAGGGCGCTAGCTAGATAAAGGGCCATTAAAAATAATATGTAAAATCGTGTTCTAGAATTATAATATTCATAAATTTTTGACTAATTTGCTCAATATAGGCTATGTTATAATTATTGTAATCATATTTATATTTCAAATTCTTTTTCACGATAGTTGTCAACCATTGCACGGAAATTATTTAAACCCAATTTTAACAATTCATTTCAATTAATATGGCATAGTGTTAATCGATTGTTAAAATATTTTATCGTAAGTTATTTTTCATGAAATATTTGTATATAGGCTATCATTTTAATAGATACTCTGTCATATATGTTTTATTATTAATCATTGTAAATTGTATAGATATTTGATTGACTTTTATATGAATTATTAAATTTACAAGAAAATATGTTGATTTATCGAACTGGTCTATTTCATAACGATCGTTACCGTATAGTGTGTAAGTACTAATATCACAAGAAAAAAGAAAAAAAAAACTATTGGATACAGGCGTAAATACCAGTGTATAGAGTGGTATAGTCTGAATCTCCACCTTCCCTTCACCCAACCACACATTTTTTGCAACTCGCCAACCATACTTATTTTTCAGATCACGGTACAGTATGTTTGTTTGTCGCCCTCTATAACACATTCAGAAATTTTACTTATGCCTATAAAGAAAATTGTTAATCGATTTAATAATGAAAATACCATATTCATAAAATATGAATATTAGCAGCTAACACGTTCCATCTATTAATTTTGTTTACTGTTTCCAAAATTTTTGAAGAGCAAGTCTCTGGCGACGCTATGATGCTATACGAAAATCAATCGACTTTAATCACAGAAATATCAATAAATATACACTGATGATTCTCAATGGTATATTAAATGTCAAACGAGCGGTACATTCAAATATCTCTCAGGTGGCATTATTCATAATGTCCACCTACACATCAAGTTGATTAGTCTGTAGCCCTATTTCGAACTTGTTTTCAGTTTATTAGACCTACATATCAGTGAATGGCTAGACTCGTTCCTACTCATAGTCGATAGCAACATAATATTAGTGGCATCATCTTATCGAGTAGGGCATATATCTCATTGAATGTTTGATTCAAGTCACGGGCAGTTTATTTATAGTAATTCGTTTTTTACAGAGAAGATTAACCAAAACTAATCAAATCTAATTAACCCACGAATAAATGAAGCATAGATCATGAGTATTCTCTGACGTCATACGATGGCGTTATCAAATTTGTTTTACCTCGAATCACTCTTTATTACAATTAGTATGATCAAGATCTTAAGTCTGCGCATAAAGACCCATTCTCCTTTACACTTTAATAATCATTGTGTGCAGTCATGCAGTACCTTACATCATTCGACAGCTTCAGAACACAGAAACATTATTAGAGGTCATCTATAAGATTCCGTAATAATTTTGAAAAAAATATTTCGTAGAAACAATTCCCGTAATGCATTCATGTCCTCTTGACATCCATCATTATTTGATGTATTGCAGTATATACAAAATGTGACCGAATGTTTAATTATTCATATTGTCATTCATTTGGATGAAGTCAGTAAATCGACACCGTACGTGTTCGAGGAAATTTATCGTGATTCTTAGCAAATTTATATTATTTTTGTACTTTTTAGTAAAGCTTACCAGAAAATTACCATACTAAAATAGTACAACTAAAATTAATGAAGGTGCCAGAGGTTTAAGGGGGATTCTTGCAGGGGTTCTCCCCTGTGGCTCTAACTCAGACCGCATATTCACACCCCTCTTTTTTACCGGATTGGTTCCGCTCCTGTATAAAAATAATATTTTAAATATCTCCATCGTTCAATACCATTCTCGATAGCTAGGCCTACTGTATGACGTAATTTTCATCCGTTTTCATTTTCATTTAAACAATTATATAGTTAGGTATCATCCATACAATTACATTAATATTAAGGCAATAGAGCAGGATTTCATTATGCACACTTTTACATTAAGTCTTTATATGCTATTTAAGTCATAATTTATGTGTCTATGAATATAACGTTTTTAACCATAGGCCCACTAAACAAATTGCCAAAACGTGCCGTATCTTCAATATTATTATACAACGGCTGTTTTACATCTTGGTGGCAGGCTACAGTTACCAAACACATCTTTTGTGCGAATGACGTCACAGCAATTAAGCCGCGATGTTTGCATAAGTATGCCATTATTTAGCATTTCGTTGAAATTGCGACCTGGATGAAGGTAGTAGATACAATGTTTACCTAAACTATTATGTGAAACGTAATTTGAATACAATACTAGGCCTACTATCGTATCTCATTATAGTTTTCAATTATTATAAAGTACCGGTATATACACGTAGGCCTACTGAGTACACAGTGGCGAATCCAATGGATGCGGTGAAAAAAGAGAAATCTCTATAATCCTCCCCGACTATAAATTATAATAAGTCCGTGCTGCACACTCAGACCATTACAGTCCATCTCCTCCTTCACCAAAAAAAAAAAAAAAAACAAAAAAAACAAAACAAAACAAAACAAAAACAAAAACAAAATCTGGTTATCTGCTGCCCCTCTCCCACTAGGGGTTTTTTCAGCATACGAGTTACAAGAGAATGCCGAGTTGCTAACTCGGCAAAAACTCGTAGGACGATTCGGAAAGCTCAGAGAGGACTCTTACCTACTACTCGTAGCAGCTCTGAGCTCGTGGCGCTAATTTTGAACATGTTCAAAATTATCGCCACGAGTAGATAACTCGTAGTAAACTCGAAGAACTCGTAGGTAGCTCGTAGAGTACTCGGGGTACACTTACCTAGCTCGTACACTACTTTGGATACTCGTCGGTGATTTTGTCATCTACGAGTTTGATGCGAGCACCCAAAAACGAGTACGAGTAAGTAAGAGCGCACCGAGTTGGCTCGTACCTAACTCTAATAGTATCTAATTCGGTACAAACTTGTTACGCTCGTAATAATCTCGTAGTTAACTCGGTGCTCTGCTCGGCATAATACACAACTCGTAACCAACTCCATAAAGTCGTACCTCACTCGTAGCTATCACGCAATAAGCTCGTATAGGTCCTTTCCAAAGATCACGAGTTTTAACTCGTAGAAATCGTACGACTCTTAGGTGAAATAAACCTAGGTGGGAGAGGGGCTGCACATGCGTGTGTTCGGTGTGAGTACTGTATACGTTAACGTTGGTAATGCATCCGCATAGTTTGTGGAGTAGGCCTATACCGCATGCAGTTTTCAATAGCTGCTATCATAATGGAATTTACATACTAATCAATCACTTCAATTCTACCGGACGCTTTGAAATATTTTTGTATTGAGAGTATAAGCAGTGGTGACATGTTTAAACGTAGGCCCTGATTCTACAGGCCGCATAGATCTCTATCACATGATTGTGCTATCGTATTGGATAGTCTTAGCTCCACTACGTTCTTAAAAAACGAGACCATACCAGGGGTGGCGCCAGGATTTTTCCCCCGAAAATTTTGACAATTTATGGCCTTCAATGGCATATTTAATCGATTTAAGAGTCTACTAGTATGTAGAAAATACATATAATTTTTTTTTCTCTCCGCCGACGAATCGTGCTTTTTCTCCCCGACGGGGAAAGGGGGTGGGGGTTGGCTGCGTACTGAGTTGAGTATTCAGTACGATAACAGGGCAAAACATCACTCCTATTATTTTGCAGTAGGGGGTGCAGAAATAAGGGCACTCCTGTATAAATAACATGTTTAAATAACCTTGAGAACCTTCTGTCTTGTCACCCCTATCTTTTGATATACTTAAATTCAACAATAATATTAGCCTGAAAATTATCCTCATAAATGACCCCACACCTAAAGAAAAAAAGCTGCTGACTATTTAGTTTAGGGGAGGTGGGGAGGACGACCATCGCCACCACCCCCATGGATCCGCGCAAGTGTCATTTAAATATTCATTTTGTAATTCCCAGGAATGCTGCAAGTATATGTAACAGAATATTCTAAAGCATAATATATTGAATACTGCTACGTCTTTAACTATAATTTTAGAACGACCTTTGCAAATGAAAGTCTAATTACCTTTTAAATAAAGAAGAACATGAGCCAATATTTGTTTATAGTATTAAAGCAGGTAAGATAGCTAGGCTTACTGGTGAAGAATATGGTAAAAATGGATTCTAAAATTCATGCTAAAATGTGATGGATGTAGACATTCTTATTCGTCACATGTTGACATTTTAGTGATTAACATGGTCATTTTCTATATATTTTTTTCATTCCATTATTTAGTGGACATATACACGTTTGTATCAGCCACAATCAGTGAAGTGGTACGCTCCACTTACCTATACTCTGCCGCTCCTTCCGCTGTGCTGTACTGTACTAACGAATTGTGGATGTTAGCATTCACATTCTGTAACCTATAATTGCACATTCATGATTAGCTGGAATACAACAAGCCCCACCCCTTGGATATAACTACAGTTTAAAACATACCAAGCATACGCAAACAGGTGCATTTTGTGAGACACGCGCGTATTCATGGGCCTGTTCTGATTGGTCAGTTGTTTTGATTGACACCCCCCCCCCCCCCCCGGCTGTTCGCTAAAGCTTGGTTAACGCTGAGCAATGTTGGCGCGTTGATGCAAACGCGTTGAAAAGCGTTTGCGCTAACGCGCAGGCTATTGCTCAAGTTTTGAACCAAGTCTAATAAATTAATAGTACAGTCAGTATGCGCGATTATGAAGCTTAGTCTCAAAAGAACCACTTTTAGTAGATTAGAACCACTTAGAACTACAGACATTAGACGGCTGGAATAACTCATTTGCGAAAGACCGACTGTAGACGTTATGAATAATTTAAATTTGATTGTAACACAGGTTTCGTAAAATGATATGTTAAACGTTATTCAAACGGCTTATCTATATTAAAACGATATATTGATTTATACAGTATAAGACACCATTGATGCATATTCTTGCGATCAATTATTGATCACAAAACTGATTCCAAACTTATAAAATTTATTGAATATTCAATGGTTAATTTATGAATAATTTATATTATTATAATTATACAAA